CTTATTGCTGGTCTGTTCTCTTTAATATCAGCTTCACCAGAGCGAGGAATTTGCCACTGCTCCAGCCTGGCACAAAGTAGATACTCAAGCTCAAAACCCACTGTCCCTGAGTGGATTCTGACAACCCTAAAAGGCAGAGTACAGCAGCTTCGTCCGTCCCCCTTTCTGTCTCCTGAGCTTTCTCCCTGGGCAAACGCTGCCCTTTTGATCTGAAATGTTTGATCGTTCTAAGGAGCATGTACCTTCCTGGTAATTAACAATTGTTTGAATTCATAGCAAGGGTTTCTGAGGAGCAGCTGGCAGCTTTGAACTGCTGACTGTGCAGTTCAAACCGACCTTGGGGGGTCCAGTGCTTATCCTACAGTGCCACCACAGGACTGCTTTATAGGCCTGTTGATTGGCTGAAAATTGGGCCACGGGGCCCACAATTTTGTTTGAATTGTGAGATTGTCTGATTGTATGACAACCAAGGCATTGACATTGTGTTACACTGATTCTTCTAGCTGTAGCTGGAGTATTTTCCAATATTTCTGAATTTTTCACCATACACTGAATAACATCCCCAAATGGCTTTTCATGTAATTTCTTTCAGATGTAGTGTGCATTGTTACTTACAAAGGTAGATAGAAATGTAATTTATTCAATCATGTGAGAGTGAATTTATTCCAATTACAGCCAATCCTCATACTATTTCACATTATAAAATGTCTGATTTTTTTTTTTTATATCCATTTAAGTGGATGTTAGGGATTTAATGTTCATTCAAGCAGACCTGGGCGATTTCTACAAGTCAGAACTAGGAGCTGTTTCTCAGAGTTGGACAGAATCTCCCAGAAGAGACAGGACAGTAGGGATTCTTACAGGTGAGGAACTTTCATTTTCTTTCTAGATCTTTACCTAAGATGACCATGTTAGGGCTGACCAGCTATATCTCATCACTATGGTTTTTGCTTCTAAGTGTTAATAAAGCAACATCATGCTTTGAGCAGAGAGGAAGGGAAGATGAGATTCAGATTGTCGAAAGCATATAGTCTGTCCTCAGATTGCCCTGGCTCCAAACCATCTAGTTTGGACCTCATTTTTTCTTTTTCTTGAAAACTTTGCTGTTTCCACATCCCAAAGCCTTTCACGTGAAACGCTTTTCAACATACTCTGGAGAAGTGAGTATGTTTATGTAACATGCTGTATTGGTTATGGGGGTCCTGTGGGGACTGAGTTGGCCAAGGACTGTGCATCTGGTCTGTGGAATTAGCATTCCAGTGTTAGAAGAATTAACAGAAATAAAGATGAATCTGGTGGGAATACAGTCACCTCTTCACAAAGGATATTAATGCGGAGATAGAAAACTAGAGCTAGACACAGGTCAGGGGAGGAGGCTGGCTTGGAAGTCCTGTTTTTTTTTTAACCAAACAGCCTGTGTTCAGTTAGAATCTCTGTTGATTTATGCTACAGGGAGATGGAAGCTGTTCAAGATTAATGGTGAGGTGAGAGGCTGCTTTATAAAACTCCAGCCCTGCAAAACACTGTCCTTTGGGGAAGCTGATTGGGCTGCTGTGTGAACCACAGTGGGTACCAAGCATAACCATATGTTAATACCATATGAGGTTGGTGTAGGACTCGACCGTGTTTCGTTCTGTTGTGTAAAGAGTCACGGTGAGTCAGAACCAACTCAATGGCACTTAACAACAAGAAAAAATCTGGGAATAAGTAAAGTGGCAAAATATATCCCAATCTCATGTCTTCTCTTCATTTCCACAAGCACTACCTAGGTCCAACCACCATTATCTCTTGGAAACATCCTTCTAATGGGTCTCCTGGCTTCTGCTTTTATGCCCTGAAGACTGCTCTCCACTCAGCAGACAGAGGGACACTGGTGCACAGGCTTATGAGCTGGGGTCTCTGCTGTGCTGGAATCCAGTAGGACCCACCCAAGCGGCCACCCCTTTCCATGGCTGACTTCATCATCTTTCCACCCCACCTTTCTCCAATCCAAGACATTGGCTTTGTGAAAACATTCTCTAAGCTGTCCTGGTGTGGCATATGGGATAAACACTGGACTGCTAACCACAAGGTCTGCAGTTCAAACTCAACAGCTGCTCCTTGGAAACCTTATACAGGGTCGCTGAGTTGGAACCGAGTCGACGGCACTTAACAACAAGGCAAGTCTATTGGGAGAAAGCCTGTCTGCTCCTGTAAGAGTTACACTTTTGGAAACCCTATACAGGGCTGCTGCAAGTTGGAATTGACATGATGGCAATGAGTTTGATTTTTGGCTTGGAAGCATATCTGACCCTCTCCTACCTCAGGACCTTAGCACTGCCTGGAACACTCTTCTCCAGAAAAATCACTGACCTTGTTCACTTCCTCACCTTCTCAAATGAGGTTTACTTCCCTGACGTTGTTGTTGTTAGGTGCCGACTGATAGCAACCCTATGCCCAACACAACGAAACAATGACCAGTCCTGGGCCAACCTCACAATTGTTGCCATGCTTGAGCCCATTGATGCTGCACTTGGCCAATCCATCTCGCCGGGGGTCTTGCTCTTTTTCTCTGACCCTCCACCTTACCAAACATGATATCCTTCTCCAGAGACTGGTCGCTCCTGACAATATGTCCACTGTATGAGAGATTAAGTTTGGCCATCCTGGCCTCCAAAGAACATGCTGGCTGCACTTCTTCTAACACAGATCTGTTGGTTCTTTTGGCAGCCCATGGCATTTGCAATATTCTCCTCCAACACCATAACTCAAATGCATCAATTCTTCTACGGCCTTTCTTCTTCACTGTCCAGCTTCCCTGAGAGCCCTATTGAAAACCTGCAAACCTGCCTCTGTTTTCTCTTCTCAGTTCTCACACCTCTTACTATACAACAGGTATTGTATGGAGAAGGACATCATGCTTGGTAGAGGGTCACTGAAAAACGAAGACCTTCAGCATGATGGGTTGGCACAATGGCTGCCACAGAGACAGCAACAATTGTGGTGGTGGTTCAGGGCCTGTTACCTTCTGTTGTACACAGGTGGCTATGATTCGGAACCAACTTGAGTGTACTTAACAAAAACAGTATTTATACTAAATATAATTGATAACAATAAGGAGCTCTGGTAGCGTAGTGGTTAAGAATCGGGCTGGGAACCGCAAGGTCAGCAGTTGGAAACTACCAGCTGTTCCGCGGGAGAAAGGTGAGGCTTTCTGCTCCCGTAAAGATTTACACCCTCGGAAACCCTGTACAGGGTCGCTATGGGTTGGAACAGACTCGATGGCACTTAACAACAACAACAACATAGTAAGTATATTATGGAATGTACTGTTCTGTGTATAACACTATTATATGTATGGAGGTATTTATAATACGGATTTATAACCTTATTATACAGATGAAGGGATTTATTTCTTGTGAATCTTCTTTCTTCCCCACGCGTTGTTGTTGTTAGGTTCTCTGGAGCTAACTTTTTATTTTTGAACCACAGGAGGGCAGGGACTTTGCATTTTTCATTGCTCTCTCCATAAAGCCCCACACTGTACCTGATACATAGTAGGCGCCAAGTAACGCTACCCACACGCAGAATACATAGGGAATGTGTGACTAGTGGAACGAGCGGCTCTTTTGACCCCTCGGGGCCCCCGTGGGATCGCGATGCCTGCCCTCAGCGCGCCTGCGTACAGCACCCGGCTGCCCGCTTGCGCGGGTCCGACTCCCGCGACCGCACTCCTTTACGAGACGCGAGCTTGGCGGAGGATTACAGCGGGAGGGGCAGTGGTTGAAACGTAGTTTAGGGGCGGGTCGCGGGGGCGGAGCTCCGGGGCGGGCGCGCGAATGTCCCTCGGGGGGCGGCGGGCAGCCTCAGTCCGCGCTTGTCTGCCTCCTGGCGAGCTTGGCCCGCCGCCCCCCCGTAGCTATGGCCAAGGAGCCGCTCTTCGTGAGGGACGAGATCATGGAGTGCCAGGTGATGTGGGAGCCCGACAGCAAGAGGAACACTCACATGGACCGCTTCCGGGCGGCCGTGAGCGCCGCCTGCGGCCTGGCTCTCGGTGAGTGCCCGCGGGGATGGGGTCGCCTGGCTGGGAGTGGGGACGCTCCAGCACTCGGAGTCTCCCCGTTGAGATGGGGATCACCTAACCCAGATTTCCCTTCTGGTCCTGCGGTCGCGATCCCCGGCAATGGGAGTCCCCTGATGGATGTCGCTCGAGGTTCCCGATGGAGTTGGGGTCACCTGACATAGGTGCCCGCGGGATCCCCCGGGATGGGGGTCAACTGATGGAGGATGCCCCACTCCTGCCCTCGGGGTCCACCCGCGGGTGTGGGTGTCACCTGACCCACAGCACCTCGCTTCTGCGCTCGAGGTTTCCCCGCTGGCTTCCCTTCTTCCTGCGCCTGGATGATGGGCTGGCCCCATCTGTCTCGATTTTCGGCTCATTCCCTAGGGGTCGAAAGTCTGACTGTGCCAACTCACCTTCTCAGCTCCCTTAAGACCCCAGGGTCTTCCCTGCGTGTCTCTCTGTCCTGGGTCCCCACCTTTTGTACTACTAGATGTCTTTCTTACTTTCTGTGAGCTGCCTCTCTCTCTCTCTCTCTTACTATCGGGTCCTTCAGCCTGCCTATCTCTCTCCCTTAGACTCTGACTTGTAGTCCTTCCTCAGTTGTCCCCCAAGGAGCTCTTTCTAGAAGGTGATTCTGATTTCTTTTGGGACAGAGGTAGAGAGACACTTCCCCCTAGACACAGCTTGGTTGAAAACCATCTTTCCAGCCCCACCGTAGTCTTCAGAAACCTCTGGCAGGTATGAGTGGACAGAGGAGTCCCTTTGCTGGGCAGAAGCAACTGGCTAGGCGTCCTGTTCCCACCTCTAGTGCGGTTGTCTCACTGCATGCTCGTCTTGCCTTCCTCGGGCATTCCTTCTGGATGGATTTTAATTTTTTTCTGACCTCTTTTCTTCTCACTGCTGCAGGGACCTTAGTCTCACATGGTGCCATTACTGTCTTTAGTCACCAGAAATGGAGACCTGAGTCATTGGCCTTGTCCAGGGTGTCTCCCCAGTATGACTGCTCCCTGCCATTCCCCTGCCAGCACTTCCTGGCCTCAGTCCCTGTTCCCTGCACGCTGGTCTGTCTCCTGACTGGCTTCCTACCTACTTGCCTTCCTCCTTCCGCCTCAGCACACCTTACCTGCCTTCCCAGAATAATCTCGAATCACAGGTCTGCCTTTGTCATCACTGGCTCAGAGCCTCTCAATGGCCCCTTGTTGACCATGGGCATTGCAGCTGGTGCCACGTGGCAGCTTCCAAGGCCCTGAACTTCTGGCTGGAGGGCATCGGAGTTTCCACACACCCTGATGGGCCCCTTCCCCCCCTCACTAGAGTGTGAACACCTTGAGACAGGCTCTGGGTCCCTCTGTGGTCCACTGGTCCCCATTGCCATTTAGCCGATTCTAACTCATAGTGACCCTTAGGACATAATAAAGTTGTTCTATGTTGAGGTTTCCAAGATTATAAATCGTTATGGGAGCAGAACCATTAACCTGACTTTTAGCTGTCCAGTGCATAACATAGGGGGCAGCACCAGGACTCCTGAGTAGGTGAGAAAGAAGCTGATAAATGTATTCTATTGAAGAGGAACAGGCGTGGCTCCCAGAAGAGTGGGGAAGCTATGGGGTGGGGGGTGGGGGGCGCTCCCTTCTGTGTCCTTGCCTCAGTTTCCTCTTGGTTCCCTCTGGAGGCAGTCACACGCCCTGGTGGCCTTCTGACATGATTTCTCACAAGGGCAACACTGCCTTCCTCCATGGCTGCTGTAACCTGACCCCCTGGAGCCTGAATTTGGCTCCCCTACTTCCTAGCTGTGTGGCTATGAGGCAGCCATCAAATCCCCTGACCTCACTTTCATTGTAAGATGGGGTTAGGAGGACCTGCCTCATTGGAGTAAGGGTGTCAGGGTGGTCGTTGTCCAGTGTCCAGCTCTGCACCACACTGTGGCCAGGACTGCTGCTCAGCAAACGTTAGGGAGCACTGGCAGCCCTCTCGGGGCTCCATCAGTACCTATGACTCAGGTGGCTTCCACTCTGCTGAGTTGTTGTTATAAAAGCCGTCAAGTCGATTCCGACCCATAGGGACCTTGTATAGGGTTTCCAAGGAGCAGCTGGAGTGCATGTGTTTAGAAGCAGGGAGACTCCATGGGTAGAGGAGGATTGTCAACTTCTTTCAGAAGACCCGAGCCCCATTATGCTGGGTCTGCACCAGGTTGCCTCTCTGCATTGGAGCTGGCTGGGGGTGGGGACCCTTTAGGTGAGGCGGGGCCTGGGAGGTTATGAATGCCCCTCCCCTGTGTGATCCTCCTCCCCCTTGTTCAGCCCACCAGCTTCTTTCCTTGGGATTTTCTTACTTTGTCTTTGGAAACCTCTGGATGTTTCCCTTCCTTCTCCCCTAGGCAGATGGGTCTCTGCTCTGGAATGCATGTCAGACTAATTGCTGGGGAATGAGGCAGGGCTGCCCTGGTGCCTTGCTCAGCCTGGGGGGTTGTGGGGAAAGAGGGGCATGCCCCAGCCCCCACCCTGCTCCCCAGTCCACTGTGGACGTGTGGGAGGTTTCTCTCCCTGTGTTTCAGAAGGTGCAGCGCCTTAGTGAAGTCTGTTACAGGAAGAGAGATTGTGGATTTGATGGGAGATTGCAGTAAAACAGTCGCACCATGTTTTGGTTCCTCAGTGTACATTTCAAGTGATGCGAGCCTTAGCTGGTCATTTCTGAAGTGTGTAATAGCATGATGAAAACGTGGGAAGTATCGTTAGAATGACCAGGATGGGACATGGAGACTTAGAGGGAGCACACACGGGGGGAAAATGGCTCTGAGGGACTTCCTGGGACGCTGGGTTGGCACAGGCCATCTGTTTGGAAAGAACGATGTACCTGTGAAACACGGTAAGGTGAGGAGAGCATGTCCTCTCTTGTCCACTTACAGAGCAGCAGACTGACCTGTTCCTCTCACTGCTCCATCAGACTAACCTGAGGACTCTGCATGACACCCTAGGGCCCCCCTCAGGTTCAGCCTCCAGCCCACGGGCACGGTTGTGGTTGGCTGGAGTGCTCTCTCCCTGGGAACAGAAATGCGGTGGGCACCAGCAGCTGTAATTGGAGCTGGGAGGAGGCCAGCTTCAGATGACAAGCTGTTTGTGAGGGTTGTGTCACGTGTAAACCCTGAGCTGCAAGTCATGTGTAGGAGCAAACAAGTGGACCGAAGGAAGGCCTAGGCCCTGCCCTGGGGCCGTTAAGTGTAGGTGGGGGAGGAAGATAGGGAACGCCCCAAGTTAGCAAATGTGTGCCAGTTGCATCATGTGCCAATGGCACTGGCAGGGAGGGTTGACAGCATCTTCACCTGGGCTTTGAAGGTGGTGGGTGCTGCGCCGTCCCGCCCATCTCCAGGAGGCCTGGCCCTCATGCTCTCTTCTAAGCGCTCAGTCTCTCCTGATGATGAAGCCACCCTCGCTTCTAAGGAAATGCTGGATTTCTTATATTTATTCTATATGTATAGTTAATATATGTGCTGTTTTTTAATCTTACTGAGTTTTCAGTGAAAATCTACACAAGAAGTCAGGTTCCCATTTGACATTTTCCACACATGAGCTACGTTCATGGTAATATGTCATTCTTCCCTTTTCTTTTCTTCAGTGTGTCCCCTTCCCAGTGCTCTAGTTTCCCTGCCCGTTTCTCTTCTTTGATTTTGAGTAATGCTGACCTTTTTGGTTTCCCAGAGATTCATTTTAGATAGAGTACTGATCTTGTTTATGGTAGTAAATACCTTTTGTCTTGTATATCACTCTGCTGTTTTGCTAGCAGGTAGTCTCAGGGGATAGACTCACTTCTAGGTTAAAGAGTATCTCTGAGTAATGCTCTCAGGGATTCCTCGCTTCCAGTTTGTCAGACTTTATTTTTTTTTTAAGATAGGATTTTGCTCCATATTTTTTCCCATTTTATCTGGGACTGGCTGTTGTGGACCTGGTCAGAATGATCAAGGGTGGAAGCTGAGCACCATCTAGTTCCTCTGGTCTCAAGGTAGGTGCAGTTGCGGCTCTTGCAGACTCGTTTCTTCGTTGTGCTTTTGGTAACCCTTGTACTTTTTGTTGCTCTTGGTAAGTCAAGACCTGTAGTCGTGTCTCAGATGACAGCTCACCAGCTTTTTAATTTTTTATTTAAGGTTTTTATTGAGGATTGAGTGAAAGTTTACAGGGCAGATCATCAGTTTTACATTCAACAATTCATACATCTTGTTTCATTACATTGATTATAATCCCCTCCATGTTAACAGTATTTCTCTCTATCCACTTTAGCTTTTTAAAAAACAAACAAACAAACAAACACTCAGGCATATTTAATAATTCACATCTCCAACGGGCACATTCTGCAAGTCTGCTCCTGGCCACCAGCTCTTAGTCCTTCTCTTCTTAGTCCTCAGCCACTCCCCCTCTCCATGCCCCCATCTCTGCCTCCATCTCTGGCGCTCTGCACCTCTGGATAAGGTCCCACATTCTGCTTGTGCATTCCTCTCTTGATCGTCCTAGGGTCTTCTGTTTCTGGACTGTAAGATTAACCACTCCCCCTTTTTTTGTTACAAAACTTCAACCTTTACAATTGTGACAGTCGCGATTAGTCATGATAACAATTATTCACTGTTGAATCTTATGAATCTTATCCCCATCTCTTTTCACCAGACCCATCTAGACAAGATGACAGCTATTCAGTGGGGACTCTTTTTTTCCCCTCATACTCTTAAACTAAACTCCCTCTTGAAACCTTGTAAACCAGTCACTTCGTGCCTTTATTGCCCCCTCATTTTAGGTAGCCAATTTAGGTAGTCTGAGTTGCCCGTCCATATCTACCCTGTGTACAGAGCAGATAGCATTGATACTTGATTTGAAGACTCTTTCCCTCTCTGTTGGTATTTAGAGTAACTACCGCTCTGAGTGTAAATCAGGTTCATCTTGAAGATGTATCTTCTGTCACTGTAGTCTGCTTGTCCTTTCTAGTGGTAATGTCCCTTCTCATAAGGT